TAGTATTTCCTCCACAGCAGCTGCCTCTCCAAGCTTTACTGTAAATGGGAATTGCCTGCACACTTGCCCACATATTATCTTGAAATTTGATCCTAACATCACAATGACTACCCTCCCAACCCCTCCCCCACACCCCCTCCCCGGTTACCCAAAGTGCCTCTGGTCACTGGGCTTGCCTACTTGTTCCCTAGCACCCCAGGGGCACCTTCGTTCCAGTCCCCCTCCCGTCTGCTCAGAGACCAACAGCCCCGGCCAGCACTCAGCTGCTGCCCTGGGGTCCATGTTTATGGGCAGACGCCCCAGCGGGCGGCCTGGGCAGCAGAGCAAACCTGCTGAGTGGCTGCAGCGGGCAGGAAGTCCGGCTTCCTGGGAGGAAGGGGCTCCCTCACAGTGGTTTCCTCAGGACGTGCCCTCACCCTGACCACCTGACTCCGTCCCTTTCCCACGGTGCCAGCTCTGAACCGCTGTGTGATGGTCCTTAGACGCCCTCTCACCCCTTCTCTCCACGGGGAAGTCTTTCTCCCATTTTCCGTCCTGCCCCCGCCTCCTCCCCGCGCCCCAAAACCCTTATGGGCTGGTTTTTCACCACGAGTCTGGACGGGGTGGGATGCGTGTCCACAAATGAGGACGCGTTTCCACCAGAGGCAAAGAAGCTTTGCCTCTCTGCCAGGAGATGCGGCTGCAGCACCCCAAGGCGCTGCAGAGCCCATTCCCACCCTCTCGTCCACAGGCAAGACTTGCTCTTGGTCTCTCCATGTCTCGCAGTGGCCCCCGGGCCCCTCTGCCATCTTTGCTTTCATCTGCCCTGCAGTATCACTGGAGGAAGTGTGGTGCCCCTCCTCCCTTGGGAGGAAACACTCACAAAAGCCACTCATGTCCCAAGTGAGTGTCCCGAGGTTTCTGTCCTGAGTCCTTCCCCCCGAGGGCCACTGGCCCGCTAATTAGCCAGTATCGGGAGGGGACAGAGCCCCCCGCCCCCCGCCCCGATCTGACGCCAGGGTGGGATCCAGGGCCAGGGGTGTCACACGCAGCACCTGCAGCACCTTCTGCATCGTCCCAGTCATCAGGGGATGCAGGCCTTGCTCGGGCCAGTGGCCCCGGGTGTCTCGGGAAACCACGCTGATCCTTCTCCTCACGGAGCTGCCAGTCCAGGGAGGGGAGGCAAGCCCGGGAAAATGCCGGCAGAAGGCAGCCAGTTCTGGGGAGAAAGTCAGTCCAGCAGGCTGGGCAAGGTGGTGTGCTGGTGTGCTGGGATTTCCATGCCAAAGCCAATCAATGGTGGAGTTGGTAGAATTTAATCCTAATTAGATCTCTCGCTTGACCCCACAATCACTGTTGGCAGAAGCAGCAGTCAAGAGATCAAACAACACATCGCGTGGGTTGTGTCAGCCTGCTGCATGGACCTCTTGAAAGTCTTGAGACGCAGGGGTGTTACTCTGAGGATGGAGGTGCTCCTGACCCCGGCCCTGGCATGTTCAGAAGAATCTATTTGAATTCTGATGCCGGCAAAACATATGGAAAGTACCGTGAACTGCCGAAAGAGCAAACACCTCTGTCTCGGGAGAAGTACAGCCAGAGTGCTGCTCAGAGGCAAGGATGGTGAGATGTCGTCTCGTGTACGCTGGACCGTTACCAGGAGAAACCAGTCCCTGCAGCAAGAGGAAGGCCCTCAGCAGGGTGGCCGGATAGCGCGGCCACAACAAGGCACTCAAACACCAGGACAGTTGGGAGGGAGAAGGGTGCGGACCCGGTGAGGGTGTGAACGCTGTCGTACACAGGGTCGCTATGAGTCAGAATCAACTCAACGCACTTAGCTACAACAACAACAGCGAAGTATTCATTCACGAGATAGGACCGGAGCAGGATTCCATTGCTCTGGAGAGCTGATGGGTGGCACCAGCCAGCAGGGCACCGGAGTGAAGAATATTCCAGCCGGAGAGAGTGGTCGCTGCGGAGTCCCGACTGAAAAGACCCTGAAGAGACGAACCCCCGGAGAGGGGGGCCTAGAGCAGATGGGCCTCTGGGCCCTGCAGGAGCTCATGGGTCATGGAGAGACCCTGGTGTTCATTCCAAGGGGGCTGGAGCCACTGCCAGCTCTGAGCAGAGGAGGGACTTGTTTGTCGAAGGTTCACTGTGGCTGGGTTCGGAGCAGATTGGGAATCGGGGGAGGCAAAGGGAGGAGTAGCCTCTGGGGAGGTACACTAGATCGTGCGGCGGATGGGAGATGGTGGGGCTCTCCACTCCACCACTCACTGCCAACTCAAGGCAACCCTGTGGGGGTGGCCCCCTGGGCTCCCGGGTTGGAGGTCATCACAGAACAGAAAGCATCATCTTTGTGCCGTGGAGTGGCTGGTGGGGCTGGCTGCTGCCTTTGAGGTGCCGGGCTCGGACCACGGTCACAGCAGTGTACGTGGTAGAGGGACTTTTGGGTGCTGGGAGGTTTTGAATGTTAAGCAGCACAATTCCTGAAAGGCTGCATGTGCAGTGCTGGGAGACCAGGAGGAGCCCACATATCTTGGAGAAGCCTGAAGGGTGGCATTCCCAGGGAAACCAGAGGGAAGCCCGGCTTGGGGGGTATGTGTTGAGTAAGAGGCCATGCTGAGACCTGTGGGTGTCATTGTGGAGAGCCAGGCAGCTGGAGAGGCCCGCCTGGCTAGGAGGAGGCTGTCTGTGCGGTGGCTTTCAGGGTGGGAGGGAATGAGCTTACCTGCGGGGCACGCGTCGGTGGGAAGGAACAGAGGTTTGGCACACACGGGGTGGCTTCCTCGGCTCAAGGACAACACCCCCAGGATCAGGTTGACCAGCAGTTTGAGACTCGGAGCTTATCTGCAGCCAGCACACAGATCTATTTTGAACAGGCCCACTTCCCGCAATGCAGTAATTTAGGAACCGAACACTGAGGCGGAACACTTTATATTATTGAGAAGGTGGGGACTGCATCACTGATAATTAATTTGGTTTATGATTCTTTAAGAGTTTCTAATTAAAGGAAGCGAGGTAGAAAGGATGACTATTTTAAGACTTACTCTGTCTGCGATATGCTACTGAAATAGGATCGACTGTTTCGATAGTGAAAGTTTGGGAAGGCTTTTCTGTCCCGAGGAGCAAAGCCCCACTCTTCCACCTGCTGGTCTATCTCCTCTCCAACTGCGACAAGGGCAGATTGAGATGGCCACTTTTAAAATTGAGTGGGTATTACTTTTATATACAGTGAACCCTCGTTTATCGCAGTTAATCGGTTCTAGACCCTACCGTGATAAATGAAATTCCGCGAAGTAGGATTCCTTATTTGTAAATCAAATATTTTCGTAGTTAGAGCATAGAGGTCATGAAAAAACACCCTTTAGTCACCATTACACTTGTATTACCCAATTTATTAAACGAAAAAGGGAAAATACAGTAAAACATTTTGGACGTTACAATTATCATTCATTATTTATTATATTATTTATGGCATCAAGCGTGTACAGTATGAGCCAATCAGTAGCAGTAATGACAGAGCATGCGCTGTTACGCAAAAACCGCGATAGAGTGAAGCCGCGGAAGTCGAAGCGCAAAGTGGCGAGGGTTCACTGTACTACTTTTTGCTTATTGTGTGGGGAAAACAGTTTTACCAGTCAGGAAACTGATGTCAACCTGGAGTCATTGCCGCCTCTGACGCCAATCTTGTGTTCCTCCTCTGCTGTGACCCCTCACCCATAGCAGCTGGTGCACCCTGGCTGTAGACAGTGGGGTGCAGGAACTGCAGAGATAGGAGCCAAGGTTAAGAAAGGTCACATCACCATCCGTGCCAGGTAGCCACAGGTACCTCTCCTTCCACCTGGAAGACATCTGAGAACATAGAGCGACCAGTTCTCTTCTAAGGGCCCTTGACTGCCCCATAGAGTCCGCATGTACGTTTCCTGCCCCAACATGCCGGGAGGTTTTGATGCTTCCTCACCCCCACCTCCTCCAGGCCCCGTCCCCTTGCTTCCACCCCTGTGTCCGCCCATCTCATCCAGGGCCTGCCTTTTCATCGCTGCCCCTCGGCTTTACCAAGCATGGCGTCCTTCCTCAGGGACTGGTCTCTGCTGACACCATGCCCAGAGCACCTAGCCCCGCCACGTCCGCCAGCCTCAGTCCAAGGAGCATTCCGACTGTACACGTCCCAAGACAGACTTGTGTGTTCTTTGGGCCGGCGTTGGTACTGTCGAGATCCCTCACCAGCACCATAATGCAAATGCATCCATTCTTCTTTGGTCTCCCTCATTCAGTGACTAGCCGTCACGTGCCCCTGAGGCGGTGGACAATGCCATGGCGGGGTCAGGCGCGCCTCGTGCTCAGAGTGACACGTTCAAGAGGTCTCATGCAGCAGACTGACCCACGGCCATGCGTCATTTGATCTTTCGACTGCTGGGGTGGGGGTGGGGCAGGCATGCAGTAGGGAGCCAGTGATAATGGGCACAGGAATGAAGAACACGGTTAATTCCTTTAAACATATGTCAGCCATCGAATGGTAAAGCTGCTGAAAATAAATCAGTGGACGAAATAAATAAGGGTAAACAAGCCCCCGGGCCCAGCCTGCACCCTTTCGGATACCTTGCTTCATCAGCGATGTCCTCAGGATGAGACACTTGCAGTGAGAGCTCCCCCTTCACCCTGTGAGTCAGATGGGCGGTGACATCAACTCCCCGATGAGGTCAGATACCTACCCTTTGACAGGGGTGAGGCTTCAACCTGGGAAGTCTGATCCCAGAGTCTGTGTGCTGAGCCCCACGCCCCAGCCTCTCCTGCGGGGAGGTAAGAGCCAGTGGGTGAAGAAGAGCCGGACTGAGAGCCAGGCCTGCCACCAGCCCTTCCACCCGAATCTCACAGGGCCAGAGGGGTGCAGGGAAGTCCGTGGAAGGGTCTGTGGTGAGCCCCTGTCTCTCCAGTCCCATCTGGACTGTCGCGGGAGAAGTCAGCGTGCCAGGTTGGGGACTCGGCAGATACTTTGAGCGCAACTCTCATTTTATTTTTAGTAGACACAAAAGTGTTGTCTGGAAGCAACGAGAGGCAACGAGGAGAAGCACGCATGACCCTGTCTGCCCCCCCAGTGGATCAGAAGCCCGTTAAAGAGTTCCTTCCCGATGGGGGTGGCCCTCCAACAGGTGCTCGCCAGTCTAGGGCCCTTTCTGGGCACTCAGAGACTCAGCACCAGAGCTTCCCAGGACCCAGGGCCCCTCTGGCTGGGCCCCCCCACCCTTTAGAAGATGGGTGTGCACTTCCAGAGGCCGGCAGGGAGGCGCAGATACAGAAAGAGCACCCCACAGGTAAGGAGCGAGGGAGGCAGGGCTGGGGAAGTGCCTTCTCGTGATCTTCCTGTGGAGAGCGGCGTGGCTTCACACGGGCTCACGTGGGAGGCTGCCCTTTGCCAGCCACGGGGCCAGGAAGAGGCAAAGCCACTGGTGCCACCAGGAAGCCAGATCCCCCCCACACCCCAGCCCCAGCCTTACAACCAGTAACTTACAAAGAGGCCACCGCAGCCAAGAGCAGACCCTTGGCTCAGCCAAAGAAGATTTTCACCCCTGTTGCTTGCCATGCAAAGAGTAGCCCCCCAGGTCAACTGTGACCCCCCCCCCCCCTCCAGACTGGCCAGCAGGAATAATGGTGGAGAGGCAATTTGCAGATTCATTGGCTTCACCTCACAGTGACAGAGAGATGGGCCCCCATCTCTGTGCCTCCCCTAGGAGGGGGAACCTGAGCACCCTTCTCGAGCCATGTGATGCATGGGTCATCTCTAAAGAAGGCGGTGAGCAGGGTGCACAAGAGAACCCCGGAGTAAATCCAAGAGGCTGGACTGTGCGTCCCATCCCATGCCTGCTCCAGGGACACGTAGACTCCCCGTCGCTCTAGAGATCTCCCCAAAGAGAAGGCCCCGGGTGCTGTTGAGCTGAGGGATGCCGTGATGATGGACACTGACGAGGGAGATTGTTCCGCTCTGAGCCCGGCCCCAACTCCTCACCCAAGTCCAGCAAGCATACCTTTCTGAGCGCTGCCGACGCCAAGCCCCAGGCTTGCTCAGTCCAGTGTGAAGGAGGCAGCCTCCTGACCTCTGTCTGTTTGGGGGGCTCATGGGAAGCAGAGGGCAGCCCCTGATTCTACGAGCAGAGTCTGGCCACAGAGCCCCAGGAAATGGCTTTGGGCAGGAACGTGGACGCTGGTCCAAGGCTGAGCCAGGAGAGCAGGAGGGGAATGTTTTAGCCTGTGGGACAGGGGATGTAGAACCCGGCTGGCGGGGAAGGGTGGCTGTTGGGAAAGAGGGAGGTGGTCCTGAGCAGCAGGTGAGGGAAGTGTCCAGACTGGAGAGAGGCAGGCTGAGGCTTGGAAGTAGCCACAGGAACGAGGTGGAATTAGGTGGGTGAGGATGTGGCTGGCGGCGAGGAGGGGCGTGGAGGGCCACCAAGTGTCACTGAGGAGGCCGAGTGAGGACCCAGGGTCAGCACACGAATGACAGGTCTCCGAAGGAGCTGTGATGGGGGCGTTCATCAGGCCTGGCCCTTGGGTTGCAGCTCCTCTTGATGGACACAGGATGGGGATGAGGAGGTAAACGCGCAGGCTTGCTGCGCAGAGGGTGAGCCAGCATACACGTGCCTAAGAGAGGTGCACACAGCACGGCAGAGGCATCTGACCTTTGGCCAGGGTCGGGAGGTGGTCAGGAGTGTCTGGGGAGAGAACATTCCAGGAGGAACAGGAACCAAGACTTGGAAGGTAAAAGAACAACCTGAGATCCCCCAGGTGTGTGGTGTTGGCATCCTAGGCAACAGCGCAGGGAGAGTGGCCACAGTGACCCAGGCAGAGGGCTGTGGTCTGCTGGAACTCAGGGGCCACTTGTGTGGATGTGGAAAGAGCAAGGACAGTGAGCCAGGCCAGAGAGGGGCCAGCAGAGCTCAGATAGAGCCTCGTGTCCTGTAGCTGGTGAGCCTCTGGTGGCCACAGCTCAACGGCCCATGGACCTGGCTCGTGGAGGTACACCTGCTGGGTCAGAATGCACGACACAAGGATTGATGTTTTTCAGGAGGGGACACAGATGGAGAGGTGCAAGGGGCTTTGTAGGAGTGGGTGAGCACTGGGGATGGAGGGTAAGAAGGACCCTCCTTCAGAACTGGAAGCGGTGGTGGGAAGTGTGGAGGGTGACTTGGAGAGAGGGGGCGCTGATGAGGTCAGATACCTAGCCTTTGACAACACGGGTCGGGGCAGGCCTTCAGGACACTGCATTCATACTCTCCCTGGGGCCCGCAAGGGATCAGTGAGACTGGTGAACAGCCCTTCCCCCTCCCTCCACAGCTCCACTTTGGTGGAGGCCTGCTCTCAGGTGGGTAATGCTGAGCCAACTCGTTCCACAAGGATGTTCCGCCTGGACCCAGGAACTGACCAATACAGTGTGGACCAAAACCAAATGACCCAAACTATCTGAGACCCTAGCCGACAGAGAACACCCGCCCCTGTGGGATTCTGAGATTGTAACTCTTCACGGGAGCAGAAAGTCTTTCTCCCCCAGAGTGGCTGGTGGCCCAGACAGCTGACCTACCTTGTAACGATCAGCCCCACGTGTAACCCATCTCAGCCCCTGCACTAATGTGAAGCCCCGTGGCCGTCTCTGTGGAATGGCTGGGGAGGGTGACTCATTGCCACCACCCCTCTGTGGATAGCGCTGTCCACGTAAGATGAATTGATACACCGTCCCCGGCCACCCAAGCATAGTGATGGGACAAGAGACAGTGGGACACACAGCTTGCAAAGGCCTTTTGGATGCTCACAGGAGATGGGACACTGAGGGGGCCTACCCAGTGAGTCAGGCAGCCTGGCTGGTGGCCGGTGCCCAGGCAGGATGGGGTGGGCGTTACAAGACCCATTAACACCCAGACAGCATCTCCAGCCAAGCTCCGCTCCCGTGTCTGACTGAGGACCCTGGGAGCCAGGGCGAGGCCTGGGTGCCCTCTGAGTGAGACTCTCCCTCTGCCTCCCTAGGAGCCTCCAAGTGCTGTGACCTGGTGGTCAAGATTAAGGACTGCAAGGAGGGGGAGCATGTGACCACACCTCAGTCCTCTCCAGCACCCCCTGAGGCCACCCCTCCCCCAGGGCCCCCTTCCTCCGAGGAGCCAGGCCCTCAGGGCCCATTGGAGGACTGCCCTGTGCCTCAGCGGACACCCACCAGCAACTTGACCCTGCAGGTAAGCTCTCCTGCAGCCCCCAGCCCCAGCCCCAGCCCACGGGAGGCGTCTGAAGGCCTCAGTGGACACCCAAGCTCTTGAGCACTTCTAAAGCTGGACCTTGCAGTCCCAGAACCTTCTGGCCTGCATTTCACCCTGAGGACCAGGGCTACGGTGGTGCCAGGCTCCGTTGTAGGGTGACAATCAGTGATGATGACAGACAGACACGTGGCACCCGGGTGTCTGGGCTGTGGACTGTGGAGTTCCAGGGTGGGCTCTCAGGGCCAAGCTCACTAACAGGGTCAAGTGGGGGGCTCGGGGTGCTGGGACCTATGGAGCCGGCACATCTGTGGCCGTGTGGTCCGAGGCTCTGGCAGACAATGGTCCCCTGCTTTGATGCGTATAGGGTGCCCTGGTGGGGCAGTGGCTAAGGCTCAGCTGCTAATTGAGAGTCAGCAGTTCCATCCGGGACCACCTTGCAGGAAGAGGCCTGGGAAGTCCACACCATAGCACCCACAGCCTTCGAAACACTCTGACCGGTGCTGCTGGGTCCCCAGCATGCCTGTGCTTTGGCCCCAGGCTTTGGCTCTGCCGCTGCCATCCGAGTTCTGCCAGTCCGACTGGCTTCTCGGCTGAATTGGGCGGACACGTGACCTCTGCATGTCACTTCCCCTAAAAGGTGCCTCTGTCCCACTCAGGAGGCCCTGGAAGTCCGTAAACCACAGTTCATTTCCCGCTCACAAGAGCGGGTGAAGCAGCTGGAGCTCAGGATGCAGCAGAGGAAGGTGCAGCATGGGGAGGCCCCAGGCCCCAAGCAGAGCCTGCGGCCCACCCGCGCCAACAAGAAGCAGTTCACCGTCCCCCACCCGCTCAGCGGTAAGCTGCCCCGGGGAGTCCCGGCTGGGTTGGGGGGCAATGCCTGGAACCCCTGTGTTTGAGAACCAGGTTTCCCAGTTGGGAGAAAGGGCTTGAGACAGACGTATTGTCATGAGCACCTGGAGGAGCCACCCGTGGGCCAGGGCTCGGCCTTGCAATATCTGGCTCTCCCAGACTTTTCCAAGAGAGCCCCTTTGCCCTTTCAGGGTTGCCGACTCCATCCCTGCCAGGACAAGAGGTCATTTCCCGTTGGTTTTCATCGGGGTTTGTCACCCTGGACGCTCTCCCTGAGGGGCTGGCCAGCTTTCAGGCCACTCAGCCACTGTCAAGCTGACCTGGCTGGGCAGGGCTGGATGAGGGTGAGGTAGTCATCTGGAACCTTCTCTGGCCAGGTGCTGTGCACAGGGCCAGGGCACCAGTGTAAACAGACCTCACCCGAGTCTTCCCAGCAGGAGCAATAAGAAGAGATGAGACAAGAGGGGGCACCCTGTGCAGGGGACCCTAGAGATGGCCCAGGGGCTCCTGCCTAGGCAAAGTGCCAAACCCGGAGGCCTGGGGCCCTGCCTTTGCGCCAGGAGCTTGCTCTTTCTTCTTGGGAAGCAGCTCAGGCCCTTGGGAGGTGAAATCCTGGGTATAATTCAGAATGAGAGTCCTCCGGGAAAATAAGCCGGTGCAAGAAATTCGGCTTCCCAAACACTATCCGGGTTTGCTGGGGGTGGAGCAGGCAGGGCCTGAGGGGAGTGGTGGAGGCCTGTGGTCTGTGAGACTGCAGGCAAGGTGGCCTTAGAGGTGGCAAGGCACCTGTCCCACCTCCCTGGGTAATGCCGTGAGAGCTGGAGGTGAACAGAATGTGTGCAGATGCCCGCCACCCACCCACCCCCACCTGCCTCCCCAGGGAAAACCCGTCTCCAACCAGTATTTTCAGGGCTGCAACCCTGGGCTGGGTTCCGGCGGGTGCTCCAGGGGTACTTTCATCTCCCCTCCAACAAAGAGTGTTCTGGGTTCCTAACTGTCAGCCACAATTGGGCCTGGGGTCTCCAGCCCCTACACATACCCAGGTGGTACTCGGGCTGTGGATAGCCCTCGGTCTCAACCCCTGTGCAGGTGGGGCTGCCCTCCCAGTCCTGTCCTTGCCGTGGCTGCTGTCTTGTCCACTCAGTGTTTGCCAGGGTCCTCCTGGCTGCTGCCATCCCTTGGCCCGTGCACCCAGCAGTGTCTCTGAGGAGACAGAAAGAGGCCTGTGTGCGCCCAGTGACCAGAAGCCGACTCGGGACGGTGTTCCCTTTGATTAAAACAACATGGTGGAAACACCGGCTTTTGCAACGGCAGGAAGATGGTGCTTCCTTTACCAATGGATTGATTGTTTTTGCCCAATAATTTCCTTGCCACCCCCACAGCCAGCTCAGTCATCGCCCTCACCTGGGTGTCACCAAGGATGTCTGTCAACCTGGTGTTGGGTCATTCTGGGATGCAGCCACCAGCATGAGGCCTGGTCCCGGGTCAGTGGATCTCTGAACCCAGAGGGCAGGATGATGCTGGGAAGGCCCGGGAGTAGAACAGACTGGGCTTCCATAACCACCGTGATCCTATTGGAAAGTTATGGAACCATGGGAAGCTATGTGAGCTGAACCATTAATCCCCAGACTTTCAAAACCACGACCCTGTTTGGGAGACTTGGAATTGCGAGGCTGGCAAAGAATCTTCCCGGAAGCACAGGGGACTGTCGAGAGGACAGACAGCAGTCCTACAGAGGGACAGCCAGAGTGTTCCTCAGAAGCTAGGACAGGAAGGCTTCGTCTCACGCACTGTGGCTACCTTGTCAGGAGAGAGCCCTCCCTGGAAAAGGACAGCGTGCTTGGTAGAGTGGAGGGACAGCGATAAAGAAGAGGAAGGCCTGCAAAGAGAGGGATGGACGCAGTGGCCACCCCAGTGGCCGCCACGATGGTGAGGGAGGTTCTGTAGTGCGCAGGGGTCTCCGTGAGTTTGGAACTGGCTGGAACAGCGCCTAATAACAGCAGAGCAGAACTGGTCCCTTGGGTGGTTGAGACGTCTAGTCTTATGGGAGTGTCAGCCTCATCTTTCTCCCACAGAAAACAGCTCTCCTGTGGTCAGCGGCCCAGCGCATAACCGACTGCACCATCAGCCCCCCTCAGGCACTGCCGTAGAGTCGATTGTGACGACGGTGCTCCTCCGAGACACCGTGAGGGAGCTCTGTGCGTCCCGAGCCTGTAGCTGTTCACGGGAGGGGAAAGCCTTGTTGGTGCTTCTCCCAAACCACACCATCAAGCAAGCCTAGTCTCATCCCTTCAAATCAATAGTTTACACCTGCCATTCCCAGAGCACACATGTTAAATAAAATGCGGAGACAGTTTATTAGATTTTCTTAGGATACCTCCAGATTGAAACCTTTCCAACTCCCAACCCCACCCCCCAAAAAACCCCACACCAACTCAATGTGGTGGGGTCCCTGTCCCTCGTAGCAGCCCCAGAGGACAGAGTAGTTCTTAGACTGTGACTTTCAGGACGTGGGAAGCCCGCTCTCTCTCCATGGAGCAGCTAGTGGTCTCGAAATCCTGACCTTTAGGTTCGCAGCCCGCACATAACCACTGCGCCCCCTGGGCTCAGCCTCCATCTGTGTAACCTGACTTTCCCCTTTGGCATTTTCGACCCTGAGCTGCCTTACTACGTTCTTTAGAGCCCGCACCAGGAATCCCATTGCCCAGATCCCATCATGCCTTACTGAAGGACCCCAAGTGGCACTGTCATCTGCCATCGTCCCCAGAAGCCAGGGCTTCATTGGAAAGGTGGGAAATGGGAACGTGAGCTTGTTTCCCACCTCTGCACCATTTAGTCTAGCCGTGCCAGGGAGCAGGCGCCCCCAGGGACCCCCAGGCAGTGGACACTGGTGCCAGTTCCATGGTCCATGGCCCCCTGTGCCTCACTGGACACTTGCCCAGAACCGTCAGGGCCTGTTCCCCTGACATCTGTGATGACACCGTCAGGCGGGTGCCCAACTCCAAGTCCATCAGGAGAGTGGCCAGCCACCTTCCCCTTGGGACATCTTCTACAGTTGTCACCGAGAAGTTGCCAGGGAGACCAGAGCCAGGGCGAGGCCCCATCCATCCATTCCAATGAGCCTAGCACAAGGCTGGGAGAAGCAGGGAGCTGCCTGGGAACTGGTCACCACCCCGGGAGACGCCTGCTTCTCCAGCGCAGCCCACACTGCTGGTCTCTCCAGACAGTGCCCCTGGGACCGGGAGCTGGGCCTGGCCCTTCGTTGAGGGACGCCCTCAAAGCTGGCAGGAAAATATAGGACACACACACACATACACACACATCCCACCCCTCCCACCTACCCAGTGTATGGACCTCGCAGGCAGTTCTAGGGGAAGCGTGCTCTCCGCGGCACCTGGCACGTACTTAGGCCGCAGTCCGTGCGGTGAGCAGAGACACGGGGCGGGAGCTGTGGTCAGCTGCCCTCAAGGCAGTTCCGACTCACGCCACCTCGTGCAGGACAAAACAGAACACCGCCCCTGGCTGCCCGCCCTCCCAGCTGTTAGGTTTGAGCCTGGCCTGCAGCCACAGAGCCAATCTCGTCCAGAGGCCGCCTCTTTTTCACTGCCCCTCTACGTCCCCAGGCTTGATGTCCGTCTCCAGCCACTGGTCTCTGACAAATGTACAGAGTACGTGCCGAGAAGCCCCGCCGGCCTCTGCTCTTTTGTGTGGGGTTTGAGAGAAGGCCTGCACGTCCATTCCCGTTTTACTTTCCCCTCTCTCTCTTTAAGCCACTCCGACCACTCTTAGGTTTTAGGGCTCAGGAGTCCAGAGGGACTGTTTGTTGTTTGTTTGTTGTTTGTTTGTTTGTTTGTAAAGAGCATGCTATGTGCATTTCACAGCCCATCTCAGGCAGTAAAATCAGCAACCACACCCCATCCAGCCCGCCACATAGGCGCTTCCTTTCCTTCCATCCTCCATTCTAAGGAGCACCCTGACCGTCCCGCTTCCTGCATAGATGTGTTTGAGAGGTGGCGGCTTTTCGGGAGCCATCAGAGGTACTTGGCCCCTGCTGCCCCTTGCTGGGACTCCTGGGCATAACTAGGCAGCAACTACAATGAGGAAGCCCATGGTGCCTTTGGCCACAGGGATGGAGTGAAGTGGGGGACAAATGACGGAGGGGAGAGGCCCCTGGTTCCCTGGGGTTCACATGCCTCTTGGGGAGAGTCAGCCAGGAGGATAGCTGGAAGCCAAGTCCAGAATCACACAGGATATCCGAGGGGGTGGGAGAGGAAGAGCCTGGTGACTGTCCACCCCACAGTGCTCGAGGCTGAGAGAGGGCAACCTGCCCCCCGCTTATCCCTCACGTCTGGGGTTCACCTTTCTCATGGGGAGGGCCGGAGACCTGGCTGCAAGACCAGCCTGCCTGCAGTACTTCCACGTCAAGGCCCAGCACTCACTGCCCACGGCGTCATCACCAAGAGCAGGCTCCAAGGAGGCTGAACCCTGTCTGCGGCCACAGAGGGTGTGTCCAGCACAGGCCTGAGAGCCCTCAGGGCCCCACTGTCCGGTGCAAGTGGGAGGCGCACAGCTCTGCCTAGACGGCTCCTGCCTCCGAGGTGTTACCCACTGGGACAGCAGAAACCATCTTCCTGTGATGGGGTTTCCTTCCTGAGAAACCATAGCAGGCATCACCGGCTCTTACTGGGCCCCCAGGGACAGGGTCATGCTGCTGGAACATGCGAGGGTGGCACCCTCCGAGAGCACCCCCACCCAAACGACATAGCCTGTTTTCGATCCTTTCAGACTCCCAGTCTCCCATGGGAGGGGGTTCTGGGAGGCTCAGGCTTGGCAGCTGCCCTGAGCTACTGATGGCTTGTCCCTGGCTACATCCTTTCCAACAGACAGCTCGGGGCCCGGGTGATCCACATAGCGGGGAGGGCACGTCCGGAAACTTCTTCTATGTCACTGTCTCCAAAAATGGCTGACACTGCTGGGGGTGCTGGAATGACTGGGGGGGGAGGCTGCCAAAGCAGGTGACTACAGTTTATGCCCTGGGTGCTGGGCAGTGCTTTTCATTGGCTATAAAGAAGGCGAGAGGCCCAAGCGCCCCGGTTCTAAGTGCCCAGGTCAACCTCGGAGGAGCAGCTCCGGGGACGGAGCTGTCCGGATAAATCCCTGACCTCAGTCCAGAGCAGGGGTCTGCACAGGGCAGCCCTGGAGCCTCAGGTGGCTCCGGAGTAAAAGTGGAACCTTTCAAAGGATGCCATTCAGATAGTGGTGGCTTCATGCATTTGTGAAAATGCATTTGTGGGGAGCCGGGGTGGGCATGCCCCGCAGGGGAGCATGCTGGCAGGTGAGGTGAGGCAGGTACTCCAAGCTTGGCAGCTGGCTCCCTGAAGGGAGTGGGGCCAGTTAGGTGCACCGGCTGCCTTTCGCTTCCCTGGTAAGTGTGGCAGCGGTGGCAGTAGAGGCAGCACTGTCAGAGAATGGCTTTCCCAGGGAATGGTTGCTCTTTCCAAGGGAATGGTGGCCCTTCTGCTGCAACGCCTTGAGGCGGTTGGCCTTGTTCCTCGTCTGTCGGGGCAGTTTGTCTGAGTGCTTGTGGCATTCCCTGTCAATTTGGTGCCCCAGGTCTTTGCAACTTAAGAGGGTGGAGTGTGGGGAGGAGCTTCAACTCAAACTGAACAGGCTCTACCTAAATCTGATTATCCAGTTACCCACTGACTGGGTTCTAGTAGGCTCCTGTTTGAGAGGCTCAATCTTGGGCTCCAGGAGTGACCCTGCCAAGCCCGGGCACACACGCATTTCTTTAGTGAGTGGAAGAGTGAATAACTGGGACACACAGACTCATTCCATCACACACTTCCTGTAGGAGATCCTTTCGAAATTCAACTTTGAATGTTAGGAATTTGCCCGACTGGATTCGACACTCCCTAGGAGACTTGAACTGTGTTGTTTTGTTAGACACCCGTCCCAGGACCCTCGACATAGTGGATTTTTAATCTTCGGTTCATGTGGATGTGCCATTATGATTTTGTAGTAGAAGGTGTGACCACTTACTCTGTCCTGAGCATTAAAATGCACAATACAAATAATTCAGCGCTCAGGGGAAAAATGTATATACGTGGCTCTCAAATACTTTTTAAATTGCTGCTCGGGTTGGGAGGGGCTCCTCCATCTCAAAAGTTTGCCTCACCTCCCCCAACCCCAACCCTCCCGCAGTGTAGAGGGAGCCTCTCAATCGACCGTCCACAGGGGCTCCACGTGTAGGCAGCACGCCCGCCTCCCAAACAGTCTCCAGCGCAGGCGCCAGGCAATCCTTGGGGACACGGTCAGCTGTCCGGGTGTCCAGACCATCTGTGCACGCACATGTGTGCGCGTGTGCACGTGGTGGTATCTGACACCCACACGTGTTCCGTTCTCAGACATGAAAGGGAGGCCGAGACTCAGCTGCTGTCTGTCCCCCAGTGCCAGGAGCCCCAGGATCTCAGGCCTGGCTCTCCGCTGACTTTGAAATAGGGAGCCTGGCCTCGCCAAATCTGGTCCCCAGCAGACCCTGTGGTTAGGATCCGGTGACCGGCCAGGAAGCAAGAGTGTGTGGGGCAGCTGTGGGGCTGTCTGGGAGCAGGGTATTCCCGGGACACAGACATGGACGTGGACCTTGCTAACTTAATTTCATCTAAAAGAAAACAGTCACTTGCACTGTGAGTGTGACCTCCGTAAGCCTCGTCGTGCTTGGGGGCACACACTGACCACTGAAGAGCTGCTGTTTGGGGCCACTGAGAACTTCCCCTCCAGCAGTTGGGCGCACGTGCTGCTGCCCGTTGTGCTTCCCAACAGCCGGAGCAGGACCAGGGGGGCTTCACCTGCCTGGCTGAGCATCGGTCTCCAGAGGGTTTTGCACAGGGTGGGAGGCCCTGCTCCGAGGACTCAGGGACAGCTGCTCCATGTCCTTGTTCCTGGGCCATCACCAGCCTGCTGCGGGGCTCCCCTGTGGTGAGCTGGCTGTGCCCCTCACGGTGACGTCACCCTGGCACTTGCCCAGGGAGCCGTGGCTCTTTGTGGCTCCAGGCAGCGTCCCCAACAGTGTCTCCACGAAGGAACTGTGACTTTTGTCAAGACCACCGTGGGCCAGTAGTCCGTCCATGGCTTCCGTGCGTGTCTCCCGTGTCTGTGTCCCACGCAACAAAAGCCTGAACAACACAGCTCAGGCCGAGGCCATATGATGCCCCCCGCTTCCTTCTCAATGAACCCCCTCTCCGTGTTTTTCCAGATAACTTGTTCAAGCCCAAAGAACGGTGCATTTCAGAGGAGGAGATGTACATGCGGTCCAAAAGGTACTGGCACCACAGCCCCATCCAAACCCAAAACAAACCCACTGCCATCGAGGCGATGCCGACCCACAGGACCCTAAAGGGCAGGGCAGAACTGCCCCTGTGAATTTCCCAGACTGTAACTCTTTACAATGAGTAGAAAGCCCCATCTTTCTCCAGCAGAGCAGCTGGTGGTTTCAAACTGCTGACCTTGCGGTTAGCAGCCCAACAAGTAACCACTGTGCCGCTACGCCACCAGGCTGTCACTCCTGTATGTGTTTTATTCCAATGTAAATCCTGGCACGTCCATGCGTGGCCTGCTCCTTTTCCCAGCCACAAAAAGGGACACTTGGAGTGTTAGAAGGTGTGTGTACACAGTCTTTATTTTAAGTTTGAAGAACGCCGCACCTGCCTCTCTGCCCTATTTCTGCGGGACGCTTGTTACCGTTGATGTAGCGACTCTGGTGCCTGGTCCCCCCACAAGGGATGGGTTGACATCTCTGTGGTGCCATGATCACTGACCAACACATCATGCTACCTGTCCCCTGAGACAGCACCAGGCAGGGCAGGCCACGCTCCTTAACATCTAGATCACAGGACACTTTGAGAAAGGGGTTTGGAGACAGGACAAGCCTCAGGAAGTCAGTGTGGAGGGTTTGGGGCCTCTCACTGGGCGAGGGTATAGCGAGCTAACTCAAGAGTGGAGGGCCTGAGACCAGGCACCATCACCTGCCACACGGTCCGTCTGTGGCTCTTCTAAGAGCAGCACTGGTTTTCCGGGTTCCCCTCATGTGGTGCCCAAGCTTACCAACGACAGGACGGGGAGCTTCAGCCCCATGGGCCTGAGCTGCCACTTGGCCACTCACCAGGCGGCCCCTGGGTCTGTCTCAGAATCTACAACAACTTGCCGGAAGTCAAAAAGAAAAAGGAGGAGCAGAAGAAGCGGGTGACCCTGCAGAGCAACAGACTCCGTGCCGAGGTCTTCAAAAAGGTATCAGGGACCATCCTCGGGTGGCCAGGGCGCAGGCACGCGGGGCCACGCTGACACCTCCGTCCTGCCCCTCCAGCAACTACTGGACCAGCTCCTCCAGAGGAACGCCGTGTGACTTGCTGCCCACTGCCCTCCATGTCCCCGGACCGGGAAGGCCTCAGACGCCCAATGAGCCATTAAACTCCACGCTAGCCTCACTCCCAAAAGACCCTTCCTCCATTTTTTTTCTCCCCCCTTTCTCCATGAAGGAAAACCTAGCTTCCTGAGTTTCCAACTGACAGCACAGAGCGGCAGTGGTCCTGGATAGAGCCCACTTTTGGAGGGGACCGGTACCCAGGCAGCCTACCAGCAGATGTCCCCCTCTGCTGCCCTGGGCAGGGCAGTATTCCTCTCCCCAGAGCCCCCTCCCAGCAGGGAGGCAATATAAACACACAAGTGGCTTAGGTCCCCAGGAGACTTTTTTTTTCACCAAATTCCATCATTTAAAAAAAATCCCAATCCCACCTCCTGCTGCTCCTCTAAAGCCCAGATATCAGTATATCCCTGGGAGCATTCTAGCCCTCTCCGCACGCCTGTCCCAGGTCACGCTAGGACCTGACTTCAGATGTCAGTGGGGGCCTGGCAGAGATATAGGGGTACACAGTCTGCTTCTGGTCACCTGGTTGTGGTCAGTCACCATTCCTTCTTCTGCCCACTCAAGGCACCCTTCCTACATCCACCCACCAGAAGCAAAGCTGCCAAAACCATCCAAGCAGCTCCTACTGGGCCATCTATCCTGAACTGTCACAGCATCCACAGTTTATACTCACGTGCTTGGGAGCCAAGGGCAAATTAGTATTTAACAGCAAACATGGAAATAAACACAAATGTTACACAAACAAAGGCCTGCCTGGCTTCTCTGCTGTGGGTAGAATAGGCACTGTAGAACAAGTTTGGCTCTGCCTTTCTGCCTCGGCCAGCACCCTGCCCATGGTCACCCAGGCCGGGCGGCTGGGTGCTCCCTGACACCACCCCAGGAGCTGGTGCTGGAGAAACCCACAGACATCAAGCCGGTGCCAACTCCGAGGGACCCCGTAGGACAGAGTAGAGGTCTGTCTGTGAGTCTCTGAAATTTTAAATCTTTATAGAAGCAGACAGCCGCATCTGTCTCCCTTGGCACTACTGGTGGGTTTGAACCACGGATCTTGCCGTTAATATGTAGCCCACTAGGCCTTCTGCTGGCCAAGTGCAGATGGTGTAGCTGGCAAAGGGAAAATGCTCCTTTGTGAAGGGGCCAGCTCCAGTGTGGCTGAGCGGGCAAAAGGGAAAACATAGCTGATAAATAGCCCGTTATTTAGCCCTGCCTTGTGGTTCTCACCTGTTCAATGGACATCATCACAGTACCCCCACTGTAGGGTGGTGGTGGTGGTTAGTTGTCAAAGCAGCCGACTGTGTAGCAGGTGGAAATACTGCCCCTTCCCCTCTCACTGTGCCAGGCAATGCTCTGTGGCATCCAGAGGGTTTTCACTGGCTGGTATTTACCCTGTTTCCCCCAAAATAAGTCAGTGTCTTATATTAATTTTTGCTCCCAAAGATGCGCTAGGTCTTATTTTCAGGGGATATCTTATTTTTCCATGAAGAAGAATATGGTACACATTTATTGTTAATTGTTTTATTAAAAGAGACCTCGCACTTCCCGTCTGCTCTGGCTGCGCTGCGGCCAGCAGTGAGCTGTGTGGCAGCACCCGCTGCTACAGTCCAGAGTCCAGAGTTATGGTAGCTTCGGGGGGCCTTATTTTGGGGGAAGTCTTATTTTCTGGGGGATGCCTTATATTTCAGTGAGAGGCAAAACTGTAAGTAAGTCTTATTTTCGGGGGATGTCTTACTTTCGGGGAAACAGGGTAGAAGCCAGTCTCAGGCTGGAAGATCAGCACAAATCCACCCACCCTGGGGGACCAGCCGCACTGCCACAAGCCAGTAGCCTTGTGCAAGGATGCTCTGAGGACATAATCCATGTCCTATGACATGCCACCAGGCCGGTTCCAGCTCTCAGCAGCCTGAAGTGCAGATTGGACCTGCCCCAGGGCCTTTCCCAGAGCTACAGCTCTTTATCCTGAGGAACCACTGGTGGCTTTGAACCTCCAGCCTTCCTCAGTTCAAAACTTAAACAAACAAAACTTAAACCTCAAATCCACTACCATCAACTCGGTGCTGACTCATAGAGACCCCATGAGACAGGGTAGAACTGCCCCTGTGTTTCTGAGACTCTGTTAGCTAAAAGCCCTGGTGGTATAGTGAGTTACACATTGGGCTGCTGACTCCAAGGTCAGCAGTTTGAAACCAGCAGCTACTCAATGGGAGAAAGATGAGACTTTCTGTTCATGTAAAGAGGGCACAGACTTGGAGACCTCTAAGGGCAGTTCTGTTCTGACCCATACGGCCACTGTGAGTCAGAATTGACTTGATGGCAGTGAGTAACTCTTTGTTGTTAAGTGCTCTTGAGTTGTGTCTGACTCATAGCGACTCTCTGTACAACCGAATGAAACGTCTCCAGGTCCCGCACCATCCTCACAGTTGTTCTTATGTTTGAATCCAACATTGCAGCCACTGTGTCAGTCCTTCTTGTGGAAAGCTGTGTTAGGCAGGGTTCTCTAGCGAAACAAAACCAGGATGCTTATGATTATACATAGATAGATACAGATTTATACAGAAGGAATATAACAGCTCATTAGTCCACACAGCAGTACAGAGGGCTCAGTTCAACTCACTTCCACGGAACAGTTAATATACTGGAAGTCCTCAACTCATGAGGGCTGCAAAGCCAAGGAAGCAGACAGCTGAGTCTTCCCTCCAGCAATGCAGGCAGTCCGCCCACAGGCAGCAAGCAGCAGGGCAGGTCGCCAACAGCAGCTCAGGAGCAGCTTAGTGAAGCAAGCCTGGATGGAATATGAAACTCAAGCCATGCAAGATGACAGGATCCACCAGCCTCAAGCTCGAGCAATGTACACACCAGCAGTGTGGCAAAGCAGGTCTCAAAGGAACCTCAAGCTCTAGTGACACGACCCACAGGTTGGCTGTCCCACAGGTAGTGTAGCTCACAAGCTGAGGGAGAGAACTAGCTAAAGAAGCCACAGGCTGGTCCGGTCACCAGAGTAAGGGAGAGAGAGGTGGCCCTTGCAGAGCCATTTATCTCTTTGCCCTCCAATCAAACTGTGACCTTATTAATCCCACATATTCCTATTGGCCAGGTTGGCACAATAATCCTACCTATCACAAAGAGTTTCCTGTTTTTCAGTGCCCCTTTACTTGACCAAGCACAATGCCCTTTTCTAGGGACTAATCTCTCTGGACAAGATGTCCAAAGTATGTGAGACAAAGTCTCACCATCCTCACTTCTAAGAAGCTGTATTTCCTCCAAGACATTGTAGCACATTAGACATAACCACTGTGCCATCAGGGCTCAGTTAGCTGCCGGGAAGGCAATTTTTAACCATTGCCCCACCAGAGAATAATGCCTGGCCCCAATGAACACAGCTGAGTACTCCTGCTCTAAGTGGAGGGTGGCGTTTTCTGAGAGCCCACTAAGCTCGGGGCCTCTGAGTTACCCACTCGGGGAACCACAGCTTGTTACTGAGAAGGTGCTCCCCACAGATCCAAATGCTATAGGAAGAATAAGTGATCCATCCGACTTGACTGCCCACCTGCCCCAACCTGGTTTCCATGTTTCCCAAACGTCTGTCTTCTCTCCTAGAAACAATTAGAACAGTAGGTTGATGGTGTACCTTAGACAAGTTGCCAGGAGAGGCCAGTCCCTGGAGGCTGACATCATGTTTGGTAAAATGAGGGGGGGGGGTGCAACTAAAAGAGGCAGGGTCTGGATGTGGTGGGTGCATGCACACGGAGAAGCTGCCGTAACGGGCTCCGACATCAGGATGGTGTAAGGGCAGCATTGTTCTGTTGTGTAGACGGTCGTTGTCAGAACCAATTCCGTGGCACCTAAGGACACCAGCAATAGTTAGTTGTCCCCTAAGGCTGCTTCCTGATCTACCAGACTTAGTGGGAACCTTTTAAGCTGCCTTACTGGATTTCCAACTGCATTAATTTAATACTGTAAAGGCGTTTTCC